TATTGAGCTTACGTATATATATATATGTGTGTGTGTGTGTGTTTTTTTTTTGCAAATATGATCTATTCTTAAGCAATATTCTCATCAGTTTTCTATCAGCTGTGACATATAAATCTGCTTTTTTTATATATATATTTTATCCAAGGGCATTTTTTTTTTTTACCTTTATAGAGGGCATTTTCCCACTAATCTCATTAATACTTTCATTTCAAATTCTGACATTTGATCTATAAATTCAATTATAATAATGTGATTATCTATACGTTATCAAATTAAATCATTTACACTGAAAAATACAACTGCATTAAATAATATTATGAGATTATTTTAAATATTTTTGAATACACAAGCAAGAAATGATGGTGGAAATGATACTTGTCAACGAAATTAAAACGCTAGTAAGGTGCCAGTAGTGAGCGTTTAATGAGTGAGTCATTTGAGTCGTTCATTCAAACGATTCGTTCAACCGGCAGATTCATCAGATGCATGGGCTAATGAAACTTTGACTCAACCGATTCGTTCAAAACACGGAATCAATCAGCAATGAATCCGCCTAAAATGTAAGTGACCTAATATTATTGTATTTGCTTATTGAATTGTTTATAGAACGATTAAACAGTCGCAATGGTGAAAACGTTGTGTGATGTTGCCTAACTAACTGTATTTTAAAATATAAATACAGTTATAAAAAGTATAAAAACTTTCCATTTTGAATTTTTTCCTCAGGATGCTGAGTTTCTTGGTGTTGCGCGTTTTAATTTCTCCTGGAGAGGCTGCGTGAGCCTCGCCTCAGCAGTTTTCAACGAAATTAAAACGCCAGTAGGTGCCAGTAGGGAGCGTTTAATGAGTGAGTCATTGAGTCGTTCATTCAAACGATTCGTTCAACCGGCAGATTCATCAGATGCATGGGCTAATGAAACTTTGACTCAACCGATTCGTTCAAAACACGGAATCAATCAGCAATGAATCCGCCTAAAATGTAAGTGACCTAATATTATTGTATTTGCTTATTGAATTGTTTATAGAACGATTAAACAGTCGCAATGGTGAAAACGTTGTGTGATGTTGCCTAACTAACTGTATTTTAAATATAAAAATTTAGCCCCGGCCCAATTTAAACCCTGGTCATTTGTGTTTGTTATGTTTTTAATGTCTTGTGTGTACAATAAACAAAACAACTGTGGACAACACCTCTCTATTATTATGTGCTTTATAAATGAACTGGAACTGGAAATAGATTGTGATTGTACGCAGGCAGCCCTTCACGGTGAACCCTTGAGAAGCATGGTGCAATTTAGCTTAGTGTCAGGGAAGAGCACATTCAGTGCTTGACTCTGCAAATATTGTTATTTAGTGCAAATGAGCTCCATCTACGTCAGTGATTGAATTTGCATTTTAATTCAGCATGTCTGCCATTTTTGTTCGGTTTCAGATTCAGAGATTCAGTCAGTCAGGACATCTGAAAACACATGAGGAGATCCACACTGGAGAGAAGCAGCACACGTGATCAGTGTGGGAAGAGTTTTCACATATGTAAATGGTCTTCTCATTTTTGGGAAAGATGATGCTACAGTAGGTTAAAGAAGCAGTACAAGTCGACCAGCATGTTGTGAACAGAGCCCAACACAGGAAATTCCAATCCTCTTACTTCAACCATAAAAGCCAGAGATGCTGTCATTGTGGCACTCTGCCTAGTTTCAAATAAAGGGACAGTTGTGGAGACAGCACAAACTAGATATTCTCAACAGAAGGAACCCCTCCAGCATTGTCAGTTTAGGCAGTTAACCCAAGATGAATGGGTGCGAAAACGAGTACATCTCATGGAAATTTGTGAGGAGAGGAAAATATGGTCATACCCCGAACTAAAATAAATGATTTCAAACTGGTTGAGTGACGATCTGAGTGAAGTGAATACAGACCCGTAATTGTCTGAAGACCTGTGAAAAGATATATGAGAGGGCTAATTTATAACACTGTTAATTGTTAAAATGAATTTTATTAATATAGGCATGCACATTGTTTGGCATCAGAGACGTGGATCTTAAACTTGCATTTCTTTAGAAGTTACTTTGTATGCATGTTAAAGCTAATTTCATCAGTGTCAACAGTTGAGTGAGGCAAACTACACCATCACCATAAATCTCTTCATTATATTCTGATAAACCATGTAAAAACAACCTAAAACTAAAAGAGCAATGAACAAAAGCTCTACCACTTTGACGTACTATTTTTTGCATTTGCTTGCAGTTTAGATTTCTCCCAAGAAACTTTTGCGCTCCCTCTATTCGTTTTTTGTTCACTTGCAGAACTATTACAAGTGAATGCATAGTTTCTCAGGGAACATGTTTATACAAAAAAATAAAAAATAAAAAGCATTGTCCAAAGTTGTCAACTGAACAAAGTTTATCTTCAGGACCAGCGGTTTCACCTTTCATCCATAAGTTTGTTACAGAGTTGGTCTTTGCTCTTTCATACTAGAAGGCCTATATGGTGGACATTCAGGTTGACGTCAGAGTTCTGTTTGTTTGAATAATGTTAATGCTGCTTTCTGAACTCAGGTTTGCACCGTAGGACCGAAGCTGAGAGCATAAGTAAGATATGGTCTGAATTTGTTTACAGTGTGTGGTGGAGGAGAACAAAGTCTGCAACAGATGTTGGGTGCATCTTAAATGGAAGGCTGCATATCGACTGTAGGTTGCCACATCATAAACATCTCAATTTGAAGGTTACTTAGTAGGCAGTCTTCATTTTGCATTCTTAATTCAGCCTGTTTTAAAGGATGCATCAGGTGTATCTTTCGTGTCTTTCAATCCACAATTCACAAAAAAAAAAAAAGCTGAAAATGATTTGACACTTAGCTTATTCAGTTTCATTATATTATGCAATACCAAAAATAAATAAATTAATTAATAAAATTGGCATGAAGTAAACGAATCACATAATGCTAAACTGCTTAATGTAAACAACTAGTAGACCATTGGTTGTCATTACCTGTACTGCATTAACAGAAAGATGCAGTTCATGTAAAACATTTCAATATAAAGTGTCTTCAAATTATAATTTAAGTAGCCTATTCCCGCTCCCTAACCGCGGGGGAGAAAACATTTACAACGTAGACATTCGCACTTACTAGACACTAGAACGTCTTATTCTAGCGTTTAATGCTGAGCAGGACTTTAGCCTTGAAGCCTTAGAAGGACTGGTCTAGGAAGAACGTGTCATCACGAGCATCCAGCTTTCAGTTTGACAAGCACCCATATTATTTTTCTTTCTGTTGGTGGCGGTAATGCACCTGCAACCGCGAATGAACATAAGAAGAAGAAGAAGAAGCAGAGGAAGAAGCAGAAGAAGAAGAAACGGTCTCCACGTACTGTGCCCTTATTCACTCACTTAGCGGTGAATCTTCTGAGGTGAGGAGAGCTTTTATTTATACAATCATAAAATCACAATTTGAGTAACATTTTCGAAGCCATTTGTGTACTGTTTTCTTCGGATATAGCGCCATTCGTGGGTCTTTTCTGGCGTCTGCTGACTATATAAACATAGGGGGTAACTTATAAACAATTGGGAGGAATGTTAAGACCTGCAGTGATTCTAATTATTGTTTGGATGTTTGATTTTATTCCCGTTTTTCTCGTATTCCCTTTTTTTAAATTAACTTTTGCAAAATAAATGTATTTAAGTTAGGTACTTTACATCCTTAAAATTAATGTATTGTAAGGGTTGATTCTAAAATACTTTATATTGAGCCTGTGTGAGGACTTTTTAAATTTATTATAAGAGGTGGGTAGTTGACATATGCAGTAAAACAACAACAACACATATTTATGTGTGAAGTCTGATGTTTGAGAAAATATAATGGGCCACTAAATTCGTCAATTCTTTCACTGTGCTATTAATGTGTCATGGTGTGACATTAAAATTGAGTTTTAAAAGAGAATTATATTCACTGTTAGACACTTACATTTCATAAAGTGTTATTTATTTAATATTAAATTATGAATAACATTATTTGTTACCCATGACTTGTTGGACATTTTGAAAACAAACTTTGACAACGAGACAAACTTTGCTGTCATCCTTTTGCCATTTTAAGGTGAGTGATGATTATATCCCCCTAAAGCAATTCTCTAAAGCTGTTTTTTTTTTTTAAAGATATTTGAAAAACAAACCTGTGGTTCTTTTATGTGTGTCACATCATATGACGTTACGTCACACTAAAGGACAGAAATGGTAGTTATTGCTTTAAAGAAAAAGTGAGAAGTATTTTTATTTAACTTTAAATGTCAAAGATGAAAGAAAATTAAATTTTGATGCAAACAATATCAACATGTTTAAACTAAATTAAAAATATTATTATCAATAAAATTAATTAATTCAGTCACTCAGTCAATTAGTATGTTACTGAAACTCTTCTATATATATATGTACACACACATACATAAAATGTAGGAGTTTCTATGCTTTTAGAAATATATGGATGAAAAAATATGATTGCCATTTACTAAATATAGACACATGTAAAATTATGTCTGAGGTATTTATTAACATTTTTATGTTTTTCTTTTTAATTTCTAAAAGTTGTAATTCATTAAACCATGATTGAGACAAAGTGAAAGGATGTTAGAGAAACATTATTAATTTTCAATTGTCATAACAAGGTTATGTGAAGAAAGCTAATACTAATAAATAGTTAATTTAAAATTAGTTAATTACAAAAGATTTAGCTAAATAAATTAGCCTAAATGTTCAAGATATTAAGAAGCTGTTTTTTTTTTTAAAGATATTTGAAAAACAAACCTGTGGTTCTTTTATGTGTGTCACATCATATGACGTTACGTCACACTAAAGGACAGAAATGGTAGTTATTGCTTTAAAGAAAAAGTGAGAAGTATTTTTATTTAACTTTGAATGTCAAAGATGAAAGAAAATTAAATTTTGATGCAACATGTTTAAACTAAATTAAAAATATTATTATCAATAAAATTAATTAATTCAGTCACTCAGTCAATTAGTATGTTACTGAAACTCTTCTATATATATATGTACACACACATACATAAAATGTAGGAGTTTCTATGCTTTTAGAAATATATGGATGAAAAAATATGATTGCCATTTACTAAATATAGACACATGTAAAATTATGTCTGAGGTATTTATTAACATTTTTATGTTTTTCTTTTTAATTTCTAAAAGTTGTAATTCATTAAACCATGATTGAGACAAAGTGAAAGGATGTTAGAGAAACATTATTAATTTTCAATTGTCATAACAAGGTTATGTGAAGAAAGCTAATACTAATAAATAGTTAATTTAAAATTAGTTAATTAAAAAAGATTTAGCTAAATAAATTAGCCTAAATGTTCAAGATATTAAGTCAAAGTTATGGCACTATTAGTCTCGCGTAGCCAGACCTACAGACTGACGGCAGAAGGTCTGGGAACCATGGCCACTTTGAATGGCCAATGACTGCCCAAGAGGCCATATGACTGACAGATAAGCAACCAATAATGACTCGTTTTATGCCATCAATAGCAGACCAGTGTGTTAAACTCGTATTTTAAACGACGTATTTTAAAGAATCTATGCTGTAAACTTTACATGTTTCACGTACAGGGATTTTCCTGCATAGAGAAATGTGAAGCGGTCGTCTCTGTCAAATTTTGTCCTGCTTCTGGCTGTCGACAAACTCAAACAGACAGTCGCGTGCAGTTTCACTTCACAGCATCCATTAGGGCTGCACGATTAATCAAATGCGATTGTCATGTCATGTGCATCTTGTCAGTAAAGCCAGTTCTGTGATCAGTAGTAAATCTCCATCATGTGCTTTCAGATGGAGCAACTTTTACAACACAGAGCCGTAGTTCACTGACAAGCTATTAGGGCTGCATGATAAATCGCAATCGAGATTAGGCAAAAGCTGCGATTGTCATGCGCATCTTGTCAGTGAAGCACAGTTCTGTGATCAGTAGTAAATCTCGATCCGAAGGCCAGAGGGTGCTCTCGTGCTGAAACTCCAAATACACCCCGCAGAAGGAATCGAGGAAATGTAGCTGAATAAACAGAAGATTTAACTGCTTTCATTGATTCAATATAACTACTGAACAAACGACTTCAACAATATATGGTTTATCTAACTTTGTCTTATTATAATGTTCATTATAATAAAGTATATAGTAATGCAGTGCTAATCGACATAACACTCGACTGACGTTATGAGTGAGATTGGAGTAAAAACATTTGATTAAATGTGATATTTTCACTGGTCAGATGGAGCAGCATTTACTATACAGACAGAGCTGTAGTTCACTGAGAAGCTACACAAACAGCTTTCATAATCGCAGATCGATTTCTTCGATTTCATAAATCGTCTGCTTTTTTTGTTTTGTCAGTGAACTACGGCTCTGTGTAATAAATGTTGCTCCATCTTAAAGCAGGTGATGGAGATTTACTACTAATCACAGAACCAGCTTTACTGACAAGATGTGCATGACAATCACATTCGATTAATCATGCAGCCCTACAAGCTATGCAAAACTGCGTTCATAATTGCAGACCGATTTAATCGTGCGATTATGAAATGAAGAAATCGTTCTGCGATTATAAAAGATGTTTGCGTAGCTTGTCAGTGAACTACGGCTCTGTGTAGTAAATGCTACTCCATCTGAAAGCAGTGAAAATACCACATTTATTAACATGTTTTTACTCCAAACTCACTCATAACGTCAATCGAGTGTTTGAAATAAACCCCTCTGTGAGATGATGTGGCTTCCTACACAGAATAAGGCATGCAACATATTTCATAGTATTCTAAGCACTGTAGGGCTGCACGATATATCGTTTCAGCATCGATATCGTGATGTGCGCATCCGCGATAGTCACATCGCAGGATGTGTGATGTTTACGCGGGATGTGCAATGTTTAGTATACTGATCGTTATATTTATACTGATTGTTTTCTTTGAACATACAGACATATGTCTACACCGGACGTGACACGCCCCACACCGCAACAGCTAAAGTCTGTCTACACTAGTTCTTCATAAAACTCTGCAGCAGTTTACTGTCGGGGATTTCTCGTGTCGTGCCACGCCGCATCTAGTGTAGACAGCATTATAATGGGTTCTATAGTATTTTGTTGCTTCGCGCTGCGCTGCTCGTGTCTGGTTTACGCAGATGCAGCACACGAACACCGAATTCCGTTCACTTCCGCGTCTATTTGTGCCTGAAATGACACATACGCGCGAAATTGTCAAAATGCATGTCTCTGCAAGTATCCTTGTAAACACAGTTGCTTATGGTTTA